ATTTCCGAGTGCCAGACACAAGCTCAGGCTTCCCAGGCGGCGCCAGTGGTAAAGAACCTCCCTGCCCAAGCCGGAGACGTTAGAGACGTGGGTTTGATCTCTGGGTGGGGCAGATCCCCTGGAGGAGGGCATGGCAACCCACTCCAGTATTCTTGCCTGGACAGAAGAGCCTGGTGGGTCATGGCGTCACAAAGAGTCAAGACACGACTGAAGCGACTTAGCACAGCACAGCATATTCCAAAGAGATCAAATAATCCACTGGTGGTTAAAAAAAAAGTGAAAATTTAGTAGTATATATATGACCAAATAAGATAGATGATTTTCTATAAAAGAAATGAAGATTCTCATAAGTCAAGATGGATATGCTTGAATATACACAAATAAAAACCTGCTGTGTTAAATTCAGCTAAGTTGTAAGATACAAGATCAACAAACAAAAATCAGTCATAATTGGAGAAATGTGGAGGAAAGGGAACCCTTATGCACTCCTGGTAGGAAAGTAAATTAGTGCTACCACTATGGTTTCATATAGAAAACATTATGGAGGTTCCTCAAAAAATTAAAAAATATCCTATGATCCAGCAATTCCATTTTGGGTATTTATCTGAAGAAAATGAAAACACTAACTTGAAAAGATACATGCACCTCCATGCTACATTAGCATTACCTACAATAGCCAAGATCTGAAAACAACCTAAGTGTCCATTGGTGAATGAATGGATAAAGACATTGTGGTATATATGTGTCATGAAATATTATTTAGCCATAAAAAAAGAATGAAATCTTGCCATCTGCAACAACATGATTGAACCTTGATGGCATTATGCCAAGTGAAACAGTAAGTACCATATGATCTCTCTTCTATGTAGAATCTAAAAAAAAAAGTAAAACAAACAAACAAAAATAAAACTCATAATACAAAGAATAGATTGATGGTTGGCAGAGGTTGGGGTGGGGGCATAGGAGAAATGGGTGAAGGCAGGACAAAAGCAAAAAAGAAAAAATGTATTTGATGTAAAATACTCATAAAAATTTTGAATCATTCAAAATATTAACTTAAATATGTTTATATAGCCTAATATATATGACATAGGTATATTTTATAGTATATTTAAAAACAATGATTCATACCTATTATTCTAAAAGAGTGAAAATAAAATACATTCTAAGTCTTTAAAATGAACCCAAATATTAGCATAGTCTTAGAAATTTGCATTAAAAATTTTAAAACCAAAAGCCAAGGGAAAAAAAAAATCAGTCACATTTCTATGCATTAGCAATAAACAATCTGAAAAGGAAATTAAAAGAACAATTTGAATTACAGTAACATAAAAAAGAATACAAGGCTTAGGAATAAATTTAACCAAGGGGGTACAAGACTTATCCACTGAAAACTACAAAAAATTGCTGAAAAAATTAAGATACCCTAAAGTAATGGAAAAACATCCTATCTTCATGGATTAATAGACCTAATATTGTTCAGATGACAATCCTCCCCAAAGCAATCTACAGATTTGATGCAATTCCTATTAAAATCCCAACTGTCTCTTTAGTAGAAATAAAACAACAGATCCTAAAATTCAGATGGAATTGTCAGAGATTCCAAAAGTCAGAATAATCTTATAATGAAGGGCAAAGTTGGAAAACTCACACTTCCCAATTTCAAAACTTACTACAAAGTGACAGTAATCGAAACTGTGCTGCTGGTGTCTGGCATCAGTGGGACAGAACTCAAAGTCCAGAATAAACCCATACATGTGTCATCAACTGATTTTTGACAAGAATGCCAAGACTGCTCAATGGAGAAAGAGGGTCTCTTCAATGAATAGTGCTGGGACAACTGAATACCTGTATACAGAGTATAATTGGATCCTTACCTCACACCATATATAAATATTAACTTAAAATACATCAAAAAACCTACATATGAAAGCTAAAACTATTATTGTGGTGACCATTTTGCAATGTATACAAATGTTGAATCATTATGTTGTACACCTGAAACTAATAGAATATTGTAAGTCAATTATACCTCAAGTTAAAAACAAAAAAAAGACCAGAAGCTATAAAGTCCTTAGAGGAAAACACGACCTTTAATTTGGCAAAGATTTCTTAGACATGACACCAAAAGCATGAACCACAAAAGAAAAATAGATGTATTGGACCTCATCAAAATTAAAACTTCATGCATTGTAGGACTATCAAAGTGTGAAAAGACAAATGCTAGAACAGGCAAAAACATTTGCAAATCATGTATCTGATAAGAGTCTAGTACCCAGAATATATAAATAATGCTTAAAACTCAACAGCAAAGAAAGCAACCCAATTTTAAAATAGGCAAAGGACTTGAATAGACGTTTCTCCAAAGAGGATATACAAATGGCCAACAAATAAATGAAAAGATGATCAATGTCATCAGTCATTAGGGAAATGCAAATGAAAGTCACAATGAGATACCACTTCACACATGATAGGATGGCAGCAGTGAAAACAACAACAATGGAAAATGTTAAGTGCTGACAAGGATGTCGAGAAACTGGACCTCTCATGCATTGCTGATGGAACTGTAGAATGGTGCAGCTGCCATGGAAAATAGTTTGGCAGTTCCTTATAAAGTAAAACATAGAATTACTGATAACCCAGCAATTCTACACCTACGTACATAACAACACTTAAAGAAATGGAAAACGAGTGTTCAACAAAAACTTATAAATAAATGTTCAGAGCAACACTAGTCACAACAGCCAAAAAGTGGGAACAATCCAAATGCCCATCTATGGGTGAATGGATAAACAAAATGTATTCATATAACTGAATGATATCCAGCCATAAGAGGAATAAAAGTTCACATGACTGAACCTTGAAAACATTATGCTAAGAGAAAGAAGCCAGACAAAAAAGGCTACATACTGCATGATTCCATTTACATGAAATATCCAGAATAGGTGAATCCATAGTCAGAAATGAGGTCAGTGTTGCCAAGGACTGTGGGTGTCAGCAAACGAGGAGGGACTGCGTAATGGGCACAGGGTTCTCATCTGTATCAATGAGCACTTTCTGGAACTAGAAAGCAATCGTGATGACTGCACAACTTTATGAATGTACTAAATACCACTGAATTGTGCACTTTGGTGAATTTTATATGTATTTTACCACAAATTTAAACATTCTCTAGTGACACTGTGAAACTGTTCTAGGAAACAATCTGACAATTTGTAACAGGAGCTATAAAGTTAGTCAAGTACTTTGCAAATTCAGTCAAGAGATTATACTTACAAAAGAACACTCAAAGTAGAAGCAGGAAATAATTTGAAATAAAAGGTAATCATAGTCATGACTGCTAACATAAGACACTATGAAATCATTTAAACAATCAATTAAAGAGCAGAGCTAGGCCAACTATTATTATTGCATATGTGTGTATATGTGTATATATCTTCATGTGTGTATGTGTATATATATATTTTAATAACAACTACATAACCATCTGATAAGTTAAAACACATGTAAGAAATAATGTCAAAGTAAATCACAAAACAGTGCTCACACTGATTTCAACTCTCTCTGTATATATTGAAAAGAATTCAGAATAAGATTTTAAAACTCTTTTACAAAGAAATTGTAGGGAATTCCCTGGCAGTCCAGAGGTTGGGACTCCGTGCTTCCACCGCAGGGGGCATGGGTTTCATCCCTGGTCGGCAAACTAGGAACCCGCATGCCACATAACATGGCCAAAAAAAAAAACTTGTAGAAAGTAATAATTTTCCAGTCACTCTACCCAAAGACTGGTTGGGAGGTAAGAGAGTGATAACAATTTTTACAGAATAATCTATAAGTAGAAGAAAATCTTAAGTGATCAAATTAAGATATTTTATCTTAGTAAGATTCTGACCTTACCATGCTCTTTTTGTTGAGCTAAAAAGTTTTGAAGCCAATCCTCCAACAAGATTTGGAGGAAATATTTTTTCAACTGTATTTAAAATGTTAGCCATATTCTTGTAATCAAAAACATTTTTTACATAATATTTCAGTCAAGATACATGGATAGGCTTTAAAACATCAAGGAAGGAAAATCAGTTAAATGTAAATAAACTATATGTTCATATAGATGCAGAAATATGAATAATTGTCATAAGACCAATTTAAAAATGTAACACTGTGCAGTTCTCACCATACAAACAACCTGTGTACAAGTAAATGCCTAAACACCGCTCTGAAGAGCTGTTGCCACAGAAGCCACCCTTAAAAGTAAACAAAAGCAAACTGGAGCTTTCAAACATTCCGTCTATTTAGAAGCTGAAGGGAGGAAGGTTTAAACAGCAGAAGCAGTGAAAAGTGCAATTTAAGAGAGGTGGCCTGTTCCTAATTCTGTCAACTACCAAAATTTTTTCTTCTATATCTTGAAAACCTACTAGTTAGAGAATTATGCAAACAAACAGATATTTTCCACTTATCATAATCAATATCTCTGAAACAATTAAGCAGTCAAATCTTATTACCCAGTACTATGAATCTGTTCCATTTTTTTTCAATTCTCTCCTAAAACCTAAATGAAGCAAACTGCAACTGGAAGGAATGGAAAAGCAAACAGCATTGAGCCTTCTACCATGCAGTCTTTATGGCTTCCAGAACCCATTTTTCAAAACTATCTTCTCTCTCTTCTAATCAAAGTTTCATTTAGCTTAACAAAATATTATCTTTTCTCACTTCTCAAAAAAATTTCACATTCATAAGAACTGATAGCATTTAAAAAAATCAACTCACCTGAATTTTTTTTTAATACTGGAGAACAAAAGAAGCTTTTGAATGTATTCTTTAGAATATGTAAAACCTACTTTTCTTTAAAATTTTACCACCATCATACTTTCTCTCTATATGTGTAAAACTTCACTATACATTCATTTGTTAGAGATTATAATAACGAAGATGCTAATTGAGCCTTGCAAATAAATATATTTAAAGAAATCTTTTCAGCATAATACTCATCAACTGATTCTTACTTTGCTTCAATTTATGGAAATCACCAGCTCGATCCTTGGTAGCCTGCTTTAGAACTTCTGCTTGAATTCTGGGTTCACTCTCCACGTTAGGGCCTGAAATTAAACGCTGAAGAGGATTGGAAGGGTTCTGTTTTGAAGTTCTAGAGTTTCCATTGTGGTTTATATGAGAATCTATGGCAAAAATCATCAAATTAAGGTCATAGTTTGCAGAAAAATTTCATAAGACCTACTTGAGAAAAGTAAGACACACTGTTATCTGATACTGGGTTAGCAGGTAGGTTTTTTTTTTTTCCCAAGCTTTATTTCTTTAATCAAAGCTTTTAACTAATATGATTTTAGTTGTGTGACATTTACTGACCATTCCCAGGTAGATATCTTTAGTACTGATTATAAACTTATACACCAACAGGATATATTGTTTTTCAGTCTCTCACTCTCTGAGACCTCATGGACTAATGTAAAGGCAGTGATATCTGTATCTTCCCTCCAAATTCTAAATTGCTGTCAGAAATCTACAAAATCCATAAGGCTTTTAGAATTTCTAGTCTCAGTTTTACAGGAATGTTCCCTTAAAATAAGAATTGATATGAATAAAATTCATTGTAATAAACTGAGTAGGTATTCAGTAGAAAACAAACAGAAAAGTATAGAGTAGGTAGCTTAATACAGATGGACCTCTTAACTTTTAGAAGGCCTCTGGGAGATACACTTGAACACATTCTGAAGACGGTAAATACATATACACAAGTAGTACTGGAAGGGAAGGTAGTCCAGAGTGGCAGAACAAATAATTCTTCTGCTCTTAAAAGTCCATTAGACAAAGTTAATTTTATAATGATTTCTCCCTGAGCTTTTATCAGTCATTTGACAATACATAACGTTAACTAGAAGAATGAATGATACTTCACTGTGCTGCTAAATGACATGTTTTATTCCCTATATAACAATACATAACTAGTATTTTGATTTTCAAATGGAATTTTAAGAATAAGACTTCATACCTGGAACCATATTTGGGGAGAGAGGTTTTCCGGTTGGAAGATGGGAGATTACTTGATGACTTTCATATTGAGAAAAGGAAATAGGGGGTTTCTTTAAAGCTAAAAGAAAAAAAAAATCCATATTATTCCCAATGATACTATGGTTTATAAAAACCAACCACCGTGAATCTATTTACACTGCATTAATCCTATGATGCTTATTCTAATTTTGTAATCCTTATAGTTGGTATATTAATAATTTATGGTTACTAATTGAAATATTGTACCATCCATCACAGATTTTGGTGATCAATAAATCTGACCAGAATACAAAACATGAATTCTGTCTTGTTCACCACTACATTCCCAATACCTAGAATAGTGCCTGGCATATAACAGGAGCTCAATTAAAATTTGATGAATGAATAAATAAATGAATCTCTTTAGATACAGTGAAAACTTTTTATATAGATAGTATAAATAAAAACTGACATTTACAGATTACACAAAGCTATGAGAATATGCTATTATAAGTTGCTCAGATTTCAAATACAAACTAAGTATGACTGATGCAACAAGTTGAGATTTTATCTTTGAAGACGGAATTTTTAAGTTTTGTACAAAAAGTTTTACTAGCAAAGATGTACATACTTAAGAGTTGGGATTCTCTTCCCCCATAAGAAATGAAGGCAACAGGCAAACAGGTTAATTTGCACTCACTCCACCACCACCTGGGCAGCTTAATGTGACAGAAAGGCAGAGAACAAGATGAAAACTACAGAGAAGGGAAACAGATAAAGAGGGGAAAAACTGAAAGTCATCTATGGACTTCCAGATGTTCAAGCTGGATTTAGAAAAGGCAGAGGAACCAGAGATCCAATTGCCAAAATCTGTTGGATCATTGAGAAAGCAAAAGAGTTCCAAAAAACCATCTACTTCTGCTTCATTGACTACACTAAAACCTTTGACTGTGTGGATCACAATAAACTGTGGAAAATTCTTAAAGAGATGGGAACACCAGACCACCTGACCTGCCTCCTGAGAAAGCTGTATGCAAGTCAAGAAGCAACAGTTAGAACTGGACATGGAACAACAGACTGGTTCCAAATCAGGCAAGGAGTACGTCAAGACTGTATATTGTCACCCTGCTTGTTTAACTTATATGCAGAGTACATCATGAGAAACGCTGGGCTGGAGGAAGCACAAGCTGGAATCAAGTTTGCCAGGAGAAATATCAATAACCTCAGATATGCAGATGACACCACCCTTATGGCAGACAGTGAAGAGGAACTAAAAAGCCTCTTGATGAAAGTGAAAGAGGAGAGTGAGAAGGTTGGATTAAAACTCAACATTCAGAAAACAAAGATCACGGCATCTGGTCCCATCACTTCATGGAAAATAGATGGGTAAACAGTGGAAACAGTGAGAGACTTTATTTTGGAGGGTTCCAAAATCACTGCAGATGGTGACTGCAACCATGAAATTAAAAAATGCTTGCTCCTTGGAAGAAAAGCTATGACCAACCTAGACAGCATATTAAAAAGCAGAGACATTACTTTGCCAACAAAGGTCTGTCTAATCAAAGCTATGGTTTTTCCAGTAGTCATGTATGGATGTGAGAGTTGGACTATAAAGATAGCTGAGTGCCAAAGAATGGATGCTTTTGAACTGTGATGTTGGAGAAGACTCTTGAGAGTCCCTTGGACTGCAGGGAGATCCAACCAGTCCATCCTAAAGGAAATCAGTCCTGAATATTTATTGGAGGGACTGATGTTGAAGCTGAAACTCCAATACTTTGGCCACCTGACAAGAAGAACTGACTCAATGGAAAAGACCCTGATGCTGGGAAAGATCGAAGGCAGGAGTAGAAGGGGACGACAGAGAATGAGATAGTTGGAAGGCATCACAGATTCAATGGACATGAGTTTGAGTAAACTCCAGGAGCTGGTGATGGACAGGCAGTCCTGGCGTGCTGCAGTCCATGGGGTCGCAAACAGCAGGACACGATTGAGCGATTGAACTGAACTGATCTATAAGATACAGTTAGTGTCCCATTTTATTCTTCTAAAACTTTGGTGTGGCAGATACAATGCTTTGTGACCCTATTTCATTTTATTTTTCCTAGGCATAGAGGAAGATCAGCCTTCGTTATGGTTATGGGCCATGAAACTGGGTTCCAGCTATGAAAATGTAAGTGAAATTGAATGTGCCATTTCTAAACATGCCAATAAAATCTGCACAAATCAACTACAATTTCTCTTCCCTTCTGCCACGAATTCGGAGGCTACCTATGAAGATGGTGGGATCAAATAATGTAAGAAGACATAGCTTGGAGGAGAGCTGCCAAGAGAGTCATCCCACCTGCATCACACTGCAAAGTGAACACTGACATAAACAAAACTGTACTGCTTTAAGGAACTGCAATTTGGAGATTATTTGTTAATACACCACTGCCTTGTCAATCCCATCTAATATACTTGGGTTATTTTTATAATCCTCAAAGTCTGTCTCAGTGACTGTATTTCATCATTTATTTTTTTTCATTATTTATTATGTATTTATTATCACACAGATTTCCAAATTTAAGGGCCCAAGAAGCTTAAAATTCACTCTAATATAGCAACCCATTCAAAGTTACAGAAAGTTGAGGTTTTTTATATCTCACTGGGTGCCCATTTCCTTGTTCACATTCCCAGCTGCAATGCTCAACACCCACATCTGTACATAAGATAACTAAAGAGCAACAACCAGCCAACATCTTTAGAGAGCAGTACTTTGAAAGCCTAACAACACAATTTTGATTTGCTAACTGACTCTGAGGACACTAAGCATCTAGTAGATATATTGGAAAGAGGAAGTCAGTCACAATCTAGATATTTGTTGATCACTGTTGGACCCTAGCTAGCCTCAGTACTATATAAACCAAAAGACAAGAGAGGGTACTTTCAAGATTAAATAAGAAGTGATCATACATGTTACATGTTCTTAGTTTATTTAATAATCCCTCCTGCTCAAGAACAAGCTGACTATTTAGAGGAGAAACTATGCAAATTTAGATAAGTAGAAAAAGCTGGATTAAAAAGAGCCTTTATTTACGGATTTGATACCTGGTTGGGCAACTATGCGATGCAGTGCAGCCAAAAAACAAAAACCAGCCTTTATACAACATCTAGAAGAGTTTAGAACTGATAGACAGGCGTATCTGCTGATATTGTTGGCTTACTTCCACACCACTGCAACAAAGTGATTACAGCAATAAAGCGAGTCACATGCATTTTTTGGGTTTCCTAGGACGTATAAGGAGAAGGCAATGGCACCCCACTCCAGTACTCTTGCCTGGAAAATCCTATGGATGGAGGAGCCTGGTAGGCTGCAGTCCATGGGGTCGCTAAGAGTCGGACACAACTGAGCGACTTCACTTTCACTTTTCACTTTCACACACTGGAGAAGGAAATGGCAGCCCACTCCAGTGTTCTTGCCTAGAGAATCCCAGGGACGGGGGAGCCTGGTGGGCTGCCGTCTATGGGATCACACAGAGTCGGACATGACTGAAGTGACTTAGCAGCAGCAGCAGCAGCAGGATGTAGAAAAGCTGTTTACATGACACAGTAGCCTATCAAGTGGACAGTTGTGTTATGTCTAAAAATCAATGTACACACCTTAATTTTAAAACACTTCATTGCTGAAAAACACTAACCATTACCTGAGCCTTTAGCAAGTTGTAATCTTTTTGATGGTGCAGGGTTTGAAATATTGCAAGAGGTACCAAAATGCGACACAGAGACATGAAGTAAGCAAAGGCTGCTGGGAAAATGGCACTCGTAGATTTGCTTGACACCAGGTTGCCACAGACATTCAATTTGTAAAAAACACAATCTGTGAAGTGCAATAAAGCTAAGCACAATAAAACATGGTTTGTCTGTACTAGAAACCACACGGTCATCCCTCAGTATCCGTGGGGGACCAGTTCAGGACACCCCTAACCCCCACGCTAAGTCCCTTAGCCCTCTTTATCCACGGTCCTGTATCGGAGGATTCACACAACCAGAGTGTAAACAGTACACAGTCCGGGGCAGGGTGAAGCCATCGACGAGGAATCTGAGGACACAACTATGGCAATATGGAGCCTTGAGAGTGTGACACGAATTACTACATTTTTATAAAAGTTCAGAAAAGTAGAGAAGCAGGAAGAAATGCAAAATGAACTGTAATTCCACCACTTAAAGATAAGCACTGCTACCTTTTCAAGATTGTGTTTTGTTTTTTTCTGTATATTACATAATATACCTTAAAATTAGGATACCATCATATACACTATTTTATAATCTGATTACTATTTTATACATATTTTTCTGTGCCATCTCAATTTCTTCTATAACATTCCTAAATGGTATAATAGTATTGAATCAAAACTTCCAATTTAATAGGTTTGACTTGAAAGATCTGGGTAAAGGGCTGCCACAAGGGCTTCAGAGTGCAATCTGCGTCAGCTAAGCTAATTGGTGGACAGATGTTTTACTACTGAGGAAAAAGTAATGTGTGTTCTGTAAACACTTTGGGTTTTATGCTTTTACTTTGACTTTTTTGTTTATTTTCCTAGAGAAGTTCCTTTAAAAAAAACTCCACTCATTTTTTTTTAGGGGAAAGGTGATTTATTTACACCCAAGACAAGATAGAGGCTTTCCCAGAAGGCAGAATTATTAGCTACAGTTAGTGGTACAAAAAAGTTAGTGAAAGATCTAGAAAATTACTAGTGGACCTGGACACTTAAACTAAGACTGCTAATCTTGCTCTCCAATTCTGTATAGAGTTCTTCAGACTTTTTTTCTATACATATACAAATATCTAGTTTTTCCTCCACAAAAATGAGATTCTATTCTACTTACTCCCTTCTAACCTGCTTTTTTTCATGAAAAAATCATAGATATATTGGGAATTCCCTGGCAGCCCAGTAGCCAGGACTCCACGCTTTCACTGCCGAGGGCCCAGGTTCAATCCCTGGTTGGGGAACTAAGATCACACAAGCTACACAGTATGGCCAAAAACAATCATAGCTATACTCATGTTAATAAAAATTAGTCAACATCATTTATTTTTAAGGACTGCATACCAAATTTTAT